AGAAGGTCGGCAGTTCGAATAGGAAGAGGTAACTGATAACAACTCGATGGTTTATATAAGATCATTGGATCAATATGCCAAACTATTCCTGGATTATTAAACAAAGTAACGATGCTGCTTTTCCATGTATATATATGAGGATAGGTTATAATGAATCTGTTTTTCCCCATTGTATGGGGAAAGCGCTACATTAGCCATGAGACACCAACAATTAGGACTTTTATCATTTGTGGCAAAAAGTTTATATAATTTACATGCAGGAACAGTGACATCTAGTGGACAGCTAGCTTTCAAAGATTTCCAGTTCCAACAAAGTGCCTCTTCAGCCTTTGCTGGTTTGTGAACACACAAAGATTTAAATGATACAAGTTAAACATTCTAAAAGTTCTTATCTCACGCACCAAATCCCAGATCTGATTCCCCTTCCACCCCTTTTAATTTATTAAAACTGTTTACAGGGCAACTGGGCAGGCTAAAGAGTGAATGCTGGTGAGAACCCACCCATTTTCCATCTTAAGTGGCCCAGAGCTACTTCTTTTAGTTTTGATATTGTACATAATTCTTGCCAATGACTTGCCGGGGGGTGGGGAGCAGAGGACCCAATCCACAACATACACTGTACTACTGAACCAAGAAAATCCTGGCGCCACCACATAGCTCAGAATAAGCCAGTTTGCTTTCCCTTCTTGGAAACTTCAGCCTAAATTTGCATCTATACCTATAAATTAGCAGGTGCAAATTTGTGCCCCAAGTCTTTGAAATACATAGCAATGCCTCTAGTATTAGATATTCTTGTGGTAACTGCATTCTAATATTCTAACCGTTTTGTGAGAAACTTTATTGAAACCCGCTTTCACGGGTACAGCTTTGAGCAAGATATTCACGTGGAGAATAATGGAAAGTTGTGTGGCTTTAAGATGTAGACTACGTAATGTAATAGCTAAGCTAATGCTAGCATAGGCCAGGAATCTTTTTTCTAGACATTAATATAAGAGGCAATTCCTAGATTGCCTAGGCCAGAGGTGGTCAAGAGGATCCCTTCCTCCAGATGTTGTTGAACTACAATTCCCATCAGCTCCAGCCAACATGGCCGATGCAATGCAGCAACATCTTACCTGCCACAACCTGAGCTAGCCCAGATCTGAACACCTGAGGTGGTCACCTCACCTTACCTCATGGGTGGGCCAGTCCTGCCTACAACAAGATTTTCAAGGCCCAAGAGACAGACAGACAGACAGACAGACAGATAGATATACAGTTTTACCTCGGGTTATAGACGCTTCAGGTTGCAGACGCTTCAGGTTACAGACTCCGTTAACCCAGAAATAGTACCTTCGGGTTAAGAACTTTACCTCAGGATGAGAACAGAAATTGTGCTCCGGTGGCACGGCAGCAGCGGGAGGCCCCATTAGCTAAAGTGGTACCTCAGGTTTAGAACAGTTTCAGGTTAAGAACAGACCTCCAGAACAAATTAATTTCTTAACACGAGGTACAGGGGTACCTTGGTTCTCAAACGCCTTGGTACTCAAACAACTTGGTACCCAAACACTGCAAATCTGGAAGTAAGTGTTCCAGTTTGCGAACTTCAGAAGCTGAACCTGCTCCGTTTTGAGTGCCACACTCCTGTTTCGAGTGTTGCACTTCCATTCTGAGTGTTTCATTTCTGATTTGAGTGCCACACTTCCATTTTGAGTGTTACGCTGTCTGTTTTTGCTATTTATTTTGTGTTTTTGTAACTGTGTGGAACCAAGGTCAGCTACTGATTGAATGATTGATTGATTGATTGATTGTGTGACTGCAGTACATTGTTTCTTGCTTTCATTTTATGGATCAGTGGTCTCGTTAGATAGTAAAATTCATGTTAAATTGCTGTTTTGCGGGTTGTTTTTAAAAGTCTGGAACGGATTAATCCATTTTGCATTACGTTCTATTGGAAAGTGTGCCTTGGTTTTGGAACGCTTTGGTTTTGGAACGGACTTCCAGAACGGATTAAGTTTAAGAACCAAGGTACCACTGTGTGTGTGTGTGTGTGTGTGTGTGTGTGTGTGTGTGTGTATGTGTAGGCTGGGGCGAGGTGAGTAGCGGCCCAGGAGAGGGCCTTCTTGGTGGCAGCCCCTAAGCTATGGATCTCCCTCCTCACAGAGGTGCATCTATCATCTTCATTCTCCACCTTCCAACGAATGCTGAAGATGCATCTCTTTCCCCTTTGCTTTTGACACTTGAGATGTATGTTTTTAGGACCCACCTTGCTTTGGTGATTTTAAGTTAATTAAAACAGTTTTTAGTATGTTTTAAAGTTGTAACCCACCCTGGAACCTCAGGGTGAAGGGCAGGTAATAATTAAGTACAGTGGTACCTCGGGTTAAGTACCTTGTTCCGGAGGTCTGTTCTTAACCTGAAACTGTTTTTAACCTGAAGCACCACTTTAGCTAATAGGGCCTCCAGCTGACGCCGTGCCACCGGAGCATGGTTTCTGTTCTCATCCTGAAGCAAAGTACTTAACCCGAGGTACTATTTCTGGGTTAGCGGAGTCTGTAACCTGAAGCGTATGTAACCCGAGGTACCACTGTATTGGTATAAAGGTAAAGGTACTTAAAGTTCTTAACCTGAAGCACTATTTCTGGCTTAGCGGAGTCTGTAACCTGAAGTGTATGTAGCCTGAAGCGTATGTAACCCGAGGTACCACTGTAAGTAAGTGCAAGGTGGGTCCTCTGAGAAGGGCACTCTATAATTGGGGGTGCAATAACAAAAAAGGTCATCTCAAAGGAGCTCAGAGAAAAATCTCAGGGTCTAGGAAGGTACATGTGGTAAGAAGTGTTCCTTGGTGTGCCATGTTCTCACAGGATAAAGAACTTTGGGTTTTTTGTCATAATGTTTTGGTTTTCCTAGGTAAAGGTAAAGGTACCCCTGACCGTGAGGTCCAGTAGCTGATGACTCTGGGGTTGCACGCTCATCTCGCTCTATAGGCTGAGGGAGCCGGCGTTTGTCCGCAGACAGCTTCCGGGTCATGTGGCCAGCATGACTAAGCTGCTTCTGGCAAACCAGAGCAGCATACGGAAACGCCGTTTACCTTCCCGCAGGAGCGGTACCTATTTATCTCCTTGCACTTTGACGTGCTTTTGAACTGCTAGGTGGGCAGGAGCAGGGACCAAACAATGGGAGCTCACCCCGTAACGGGGATTCGAGCCACCGACCTTCCGATCGGCAAGCCCTAGGCTCTGTGGTTTAGACCACAGTGCCACCGCATCCCATTTTCAGTTTTCCTACAGTTTAACAATTTTAACAATTTCATAGAATTTAACAAATTCAGTTTCGGTTTCGGTTTCCATACAGTTAGGTGGCCAAAGCAGTTTCAGCACCTAAATTCTAAATGAAATGGATTTAGGAAAATCAGTTGCATTCCAAAGTGCCTTGAACTGGCCAGCAGACATTTCCTTAGGAAAGAGCCATTAGCCATAAACCAAAAGTTGTTCCAATATATGTTATTTTTTTCAGGAGCAGCTATACTCCATTAAGGTAGCTAGGATCACCCCTCTGTCAACAAGGCATTTGTCAACTTCCTGCTAATAAACCAAGAGTGGAACATGCAAAGATGTCGTCCAGACTTGTCCAAGCTTCTTGTCCCCATCCTCAGGCCTTCAGAACCGATAGTCAATCAACAAACAGGATCAGGCAGGACTTTAGACCAGGGCCAGTCCACCTATGAGGCAAGGTGAGTCAACCGTAGGCACAGCAGATTGGATGTCGATCTTTGTTCCCTACTTGTTCCTGATGTAGGTCTTCACTCAACCCTTCTTCCCTGACAGGGTAATGGGGACCTCAGGTGCCAAATTGTCTTGGTCTGGCCCTGTTCTGGACTAGGGATGCGGGAGAAATTCAACTTAGTTTGCATCTGAAAGCAAACTTGCCTAATTTGCCTTTTCTGAAATGCAATGCAAACTGAAGAGTGGCCATCCTTCAAAATTAATTAATTAATTTAATTAATTAATTCAATTTATTTTAATTAATTCTCCAAGCAAGCAATGCACAGAGGCATATATTGGGGGTAAAATCTGCACACAGATGCATGTATTGGTGAAAATAATATACAAAAAAAAAAATCATTAGATGCAACCCTATTCCCTGTATAGGGAAGCTTTTTAAGGTTTAAGGTTTTACTTCATTTTTATATATGCTGGAAGCCACCCAGAGTGGCTGGGGCAACCCAGTTAGATGGCAGGGGTACAAATAAATTATGATTATAATTACGATTATGATCCATTTTCAACAGAGCTCAGCAACAGAAGTGCAGTAGTGTATTGAGGCAGCACCGGGTGTTGAATTATGCACCCCCTAAGAATTTTGCACCAGGGCAACTGCCCCTGTGCGCACCCCCCCCCCCCAAAAAAAGCTACGTCACCCCCAGAACCACTTCTACTTCACTTTCATTTTGGGGCTGGTCACACTTCAACACATCCTTGTATATACCCATAAAATACTCCTGGGGAGTTTTTTTGCACCTCTTAGTTACTGAACTAAGGCAGATTCATCTACAAATTGTCACTGTATAGCATATAAGAACTCCTGACTCCCATGGGAAAACCACCATTGGTACAATATGTAAGCAAGGAGCAAAGCATGCTTTGCAATCATCTGGCAATTTGACTGAGACTAAGTGATTTACCGGGGAGGACCTGGTTGGTGGCAGCGGGCTAGTGGTGTACAGGTCAATAGTCCGTGAGATGACCGTGGGCTCTGTATGAATGCCACACATTGTACTTTCACACCTGGTTCACTGCACGCTATATTTTAGACTCGTGATCTGGTGAAACAACTCCCCCGTTGGACTGTTGAAGGAGGGTGGGAATGGGGAGCGGCAGATCTGCAAGCAGCTATTACAGCCACATTTATAGAGCAACAAGTCACTGCCTAGTGAAAATTTCTACCCACACTCATCATCGGATTCAATGAAGAAACACCAAAATAATGAAAACAAGCTTTGTTTGAAGCAGGTTTTATATGAGGCAATTAACAGAAAGCTAATGCTGAGCAAATGGTTGCATTTAATTACAAAGTAATTAGCAAAACTACTGTCATTCAGCTCATCTTCCAAATCCACTACGTTATTTGCCCCTGTGGCTACTTATTAGTGAAAGCTTCCAATTTCCTTTTCTACCCTAAAGTGGAAGTTTCTGACATTTGGAACAAAATTGCAGCTATGTATTCCTCAACTTCGAGGAAATATGTGTGTGGGCACACACAAACTTGCATTCTTGAAAGGACATCTCTGAGGACACAAGCTGTTTTAATTAGAAACTACCCTATTTATACTGCCCAACTGATACACGAGAAAAACCCTTCAAAATGTGCACTTCTCCACAATAATGAAGGACCATATGATGTGCAGAAAAAGGCATTGTACTGGAGGAAATGGCATTCAAAAAAAAAGTGTAGATCAGTCAAAACTGCGTTCAAATATGTGTGCATTAGGAGAAGTTTGCAATGAGACGACGAATCTTCGTGGGGATTTTAAAACAAAAATATGCACATTGCTGCGGAAGTGCGGAGAACGGAACTTAAGATCAGAAAAAAGAGAGAGAAACTGAGGGGAACAAACAAATAGAAGTAGCAGAAAAGGAGTGGGGGGAGGGCAGCCAGGTGAAAAAATGGACAGGGCTTCTACACCATTACTAGTTGTGCAGAAGAAGAGGTGATTTCAGTGGGTCTGCTTGCCATTTAAGCTTGCGATAGGAATTTTGAAGTCTTAGATATATGGTAATGTTCATAAGTGTACCAACCAAGCACATACATAGATCAGCACAGGAAGGCCAACCTGGAACCATTTTGATTCCTAAACTGGCCAAATCTTTTCTCTGCAAGGTCAAAATGGAAAAGCCTCCCCATTGTCTTTTCCTTCACAAATCCTGTCTTAAGGGTATGTCTGTGTTTGAATAGGGTGTGAGCCTGTGACATGGCCCAGGAACTAAGTATTTATCATTACAAAAGACTGGCCAGGCTACCCAGGAAATCCAATCAAGTAACCTGCCAGACAGGAGATAAACAAGGGCAGGAGAAAAAAAACCAATATTAAAATTTCTGTTTTAGACCGCCTTTTCTGTGATGTAGGTGTGATGTATCTGAGGGGTGGTCTTAGGTTACACCCCTTCTGTGATGTATGTATGATGTTTCTGGGGGTGGTCTTGATCTACAGGGTGGGAATTTTAAAAGTCTTTATAAGGCCTTGCATGCCATTTTTCTGGGTCCCTCCTCTCTCCTGCAGGTGAAGGGAGCACCCTGTTGCAACAGATCAATAAAGGCCAAGCCTACAGGCTGCTGTTTTGCTCCAAATAATCCTGGTTGGTGTCTTTGTTTTTGTCCAAGGGAGCCCTCGGATTTTTCCGTTAACAAGCTACACCTGCTGAAATCCCCGCTTCTATGCAACTAGTAAGGGTACGGGGTCCTGCCTTCTTTTGCATCTGGTCTTGCTAGAGAGGCAGTATAGATCATTAAGATGCCCATCTTCTCTGGGATTACATTTTATTAAACTGGGTAGGATTCAGTTCCAAATCAGGCATCAGATCAGATTATACATTATAATTGGTAAAGAATGAGCAGGGATGGGAGAAGGATGCAGCCCAGTTCCCTGCATAAAATCAGAACTGTAGAGTTGGAAAAGACCCTGAGGATCATCTAGTCCAAATAGCTGTCTCATATGGGGATCAAACTCGCAACCTTGGCATTATCAGCACCAGGCGCTCTAACCAACCGAGCAATCCAGGAATGCTCAGTTCAAAGGAACTTGCTCCCAAGTCAATGGGCAAAGCATTGCAGTTGAAGGAAACTATGCCGGGGTACAGGAAGTCCTTGGCATAGCTGTCAACTTTCAGATTTGGAAATAAGGGAACAGCAGCCTCGAAAATAAGGGATCAGCAGCCTCAGGGACAGTCTACGGGATATCTAACAATCCGGGATAGCAGCGGGAAGCAGCGGGAAACGGTGCTGGAATAAGGGAATTTCCAGCAAAAAAGGGGAAGGTTGACAGCTATGGTCCTTGGCCGCTGAGGTTGTTGACTTAAAAACAGATGCACAGATGCTGACTTAAACCACTTCAGGTGGCTGCATTTTGAAGAACAAGAATAGCAACAGAATTCTTAGGGATGTCTAAGGAACCTACCGCTTTCTAAACTAGAAATCACGATTCCATGTTTCAGAGAGAGATAGAGGCCTGGGAGATTGCACAAATGTATACCTGTGCTTTTTCATCAAAATGAAGTGCTTATCGTCGTTACCAAGAAAGCTCAGCTAAGTAGCAGATTAGTCTCCAAAAACACCCAAGCCTTGGATGTTCTACTGGCATAGACAGTACTAGGTGAATCTTGTCTCATTTAACGTTGACGGTTTCTTTTCCCCCACACAGAAGGATGATCTGGGAAGAAATATTGGGAAATGTTATCACAACACCGCATTGCAAAATGAGGTTTCTGCCCCGAAAGAAATAGTTAAAAATGAAAAGAAGGCTTGCTGTCATTCAGAAAGGAACTGACCCTTTTACACCGGGTGAACTATATTCCTGTTGCAATGAGGGAGGCAGTGTGGATTCAGCCAGTGCTCAAAGAATTGTTCTTCAGATCTCTGTTCCAGTTGCTGGAGGTAAAGCAGGTATTCCTGTTAAAGGAAAGTATTTTTTAAAGCCACTCAGAGATGGGCCACTGAGTCTGTTGGTTAGATGTACTGAACCACCTTAGAGTAACTGTTGCTTTACCCATAGTATATGCTAACAGCAAACTTACTGACCCAGTTTGCACGTAAGGCTAAGCCAAACTATGGTTTAGCACGAATGAGTTAACATGCAGGTTCTCAGAGAGATCACAGCTGCTTCTCTTCCTTTTGCCCTGCTGCTACTATGTACAGTGGTACCTCGGGTTAAGAACTTAATTCGTTCTGGAGGTCCGTTCTTAACCTAAAACTGTTCTTAACCTGAAGCACCACTTTAGCTAATGGGGCCTCCTGCTGCCGCCGCGCCGCTACCAAGCGATTTCTGTTCCCATCCTGAAGCAAAGTTCTTAACCTGAGGTACTATTTCTGGGTTAGGGGAGTCTGTAACCTGAAGCGTCTGTAACCTAAAGCGTCTGTAACCCGAGGTACCACTGTACTAAGCCATGGCTTAGTGATGTGTCTGAACTCAGGCTTGTGGTTTATCTCACTTCAGGCAAACAACAAGCTGTAGGTTTGTTCTATGACTTATCCCTCACCGTTCATGTGTAGTGAGACAAACGCTAAGCCAAACCATAGCTTAGCTCACTATAGAGCAGTAGAACTGGAGGAGGAGCAAAACAGCCCCAATCTTCTCTCCAGGAACCTACACATTTGCACATTTCTGGTACTACCCTTATGAGAAAAACCCCACCCCACCCTCCCACTATATATAAGGGTCTGGTGACTTCTGTTTCAGTGTATCTGAAGAAGTGTTCATGCACACGAAAGCTTATACCCAGAACAAACTTAGTTGGTCTCTAAGGTGCTACTGGACAATTATTTAATTTATTTCGACTGCGTCAGCATGTCAACACGGCTACCTACCTGAATCTGTTTCATTAAACTCAATTTTATTAAAGGTTTTCAACGTATAATACAATAAAAACCAAACTAAGCTGCTATCTAAAGAGAACAAAATAATAAAAAATGAAAAAAGAGAGTAAAGACAAAGAAGAAAGAAGAAAAACACTCACACACAAACAAAATTTTATATTCTGTCAACTTTGTATCTTAATCTTCCGTACACAGTGATCCACATCTTCCCAGCTCCCACCTGGGACAGCTCCCATCTTTCTTAGCATCACATCCTGAAAAAAACACTCTATTCTGTCTCTCTACTATCAATTTTCTCTCGGTATGTATCTCCATATTATAGTTATAAGTAGTATGATTTAATATTAATTTTTAAAAACTATCAAAAATTAAATAATAATAAACAAAGAAGAAAGCATCTAGACCTAATCAGGTTTGTTTGTTTTTAAGTATCAGTAAATAAATACAGCACATTTTAAAACACTGCGCAGAGACACCTAGATCTCCATTAAGGCAGAGGTCAACTGCATGATCGCCACCCCCCATGCCTGCTTTGCGTTTAAGGCAGTGTTCTCTGGTACAAACGGGACGTGGGTGGCACTGTGGGTTAAACCGCAGAACCTAGGACTTGCCAATCAGAAGGTCAGCGGTTCGAATCCCCGCGACGGGGTGAGCTCCTGTTGCTCGGTTCCAGCTCCTGCCAACCTAGCAGTTCAAAAGAACATCAAAGTGCAAGTAGATAAATAGGTACCGCTCCGGCGGGAAGGTAAACGGCGTTTCCGTGCGCTGCTCTGGTTCGCCAGAAGCGGCTTAGTCATGCTGGCCATGACCCGGAAGCTGTACGCCGGCTCCCTCGGCCAATAAAGCGAGATGAGCACCGCAACCCCAGAGTCGGCCACGACTGGACCTAATGGTCAGGGGTCCCTTTTCCTTTACCTTTACCTCTCTGGTACAAGTTGCTTGGCTTGCGGACAAATCAGAAACAACATGAAAAAAGAACATGATGGTGTAATGCGGCCTCGCTTCACAACAGTTTGTAGCGAATGCTATAAGACCAAAGTCCCTCCTGTGTGTGAATGGTAGTTGAAGGTCTGTAAAGATGAATAAATGACAAGCATATGGAATATATGAGACTAAAAGGGTAGACGACTGGGGGGTGGGGGAATCCTGGTCTCTTTTATTAAGTTCCTAAAAATGATCAGTAATGTAAATATAGAATTACAGGCTTAATATTATAGTGGGTCGTTGTTGTTTTTAAAAAATTAGGATTTGTTGTGCATACTCTTCTTTCCTTCACTTTGTACATTAATGCACACAATAATTTAAAGCATTGCTTGATTGGTGCCCCCTTCCTGCAGATGAAATACAGCTTTCTTAACTAAAAACTGAGCCATTTTGTTAGAATGGAGTAGCAGGTGTGTACAGTTATTGATTCTCAGACCTGGAGAGCAATGGCAAGAAGTCGCATAGATAGAACACAGAGGTACATTCAATCATGCCATTGTAGAAATGATCCGCTTGAGTTTATTTTGGCAAAAAAATGTTCAAAAGCTTAACAATAGAAGCTTTGTGCTGATTTTAATGGTTTGCTTAGAATCTGTCGCATTTAAAGATAAGCCAGCAAAAACAAACAACCCAAAATCATCTGTTTTACTTAAGTGAAATATTAAAATCACCCTCATTGGTTCATCAGGGAAGCCAGCTTTTCTTGGTCTGTCTTCGCGACGGGTTCTCAAAAGCTGCTTGGCTTGTTTTTCTGGTAGTATTGGCGAGGCATCTTTTTAAAAAAGCGAAATGGACAAGAATAGTTAAGTTTTCAGGTACACGATAAAGTATTTAGAAGGCTTATATTATAGATGTGTGCGTGTGTATCTCTCTCTCTCTCTCTCTCTCTCTCTCTCTCTCTCACACACACACACACACACACACACACACATATATATATATATATATATTACAATACACAAAGTGTTCTTTCATTACAGTGCCTTCTCAGGAGGATATTACATTCCAGGAGGCATGAGTGGAATCTGAAACCATTTTTAATAATAAACTAGGGCTTGTTTATAAGTTGGATAGGTTAAAGTAAACAAAACCTACATAGAACCACATCTCTTCACAAAATTAGGAAAGTATAACGGCACCGTCTACTTGTGATCAGATTTACTCTATTTCCATTGGGTACAATCCACTGGGGTGTGCGTGTGTGTGTGTGTGTGTGTGTGTGTGTGTGTGTGCAAGCCCCATTGAAATGAATGGAAGGCGTGCTCTGAACAGCTCTCATTCATTTCAACACAGTTTGTGCAGGAGAACCATCCTGGTTAATATTGCACTTCATCATCTAAAGGGCTGCTATGCAAGATAAAGGCATTTATTTTATTGATTGATTGATTGATTGATTGGTCTGAGAGCCTTATCTAGGCAAAGAAACAGCATGGATCACTCAGCAAGAGCTGCAGTAAAATACTGGCAATTAAAAAAAAACAGGTTTACAACTTTAAAGGACCCTGTGCAACGTTTTGTGGAAGTTAAGTGCATTGAATTCAAAGGCAATTGCTCCCAGGTAAGGATGCATAGGATTGTAGCAGCACAGTGAGATCTTAAGCATATTTACCCAGAACAAGTACGTAAACCCTAGTAGGAAGTGTGTTCAAGAGAACAGCAGCTAGCAGTTTGTTTACTGATCTGTGACTCTAATATCCACAGGATGGATCTCTTTCAGACTGCAATCCTAAGAACACTTGCTGGGAAAATAAGCTCCGTTGAATTCAGCGGGGCTTACTGCTAAGTAAACATGCGCAGGAATAGGGCTGATATTGATCTCTATAGATTATCTTCCACACTAGCCTGGTTGTCAAGCTGTCAAAATTAAAAGGCTGCAGTGTAACACCACAGTAGGAAGTTCAGCCAGAATCGTGGAGAAAATTTCAGTAGCAAAATACAACAAGCCAGTCTGCTGTCTAGAGCTCCCGACAGAATAGTACATATTCCCTTCCACCCCCCATTGCTAATAATACCTACCTACAAAAATGGTTAGAAGGGTCAAAACAATAACAAAAGCTGTCTTCATTTTGATTCTGCTGCTTCTTAGTCTGCTCCTCCAAAATGAATTACCCCGACGGAGGTATTAGCCTACTTGAGGCAGCTACGTCAGTCACAGATGTTTGTTTATTCTTTGACTACTATGACTTAAGAGTATGCGTTTGAGGACATCTGGTCCTGGGTTTTGAATATGGCTATTGTGAGCTTTTGACATTCTTGGGGAGGTGCTAATCTATTCCTTGGTAAAAGAAACAGTCAAGCCTTCTTTGCAGCGTTTCAACGCTTTTTAAAAACAAAACAAGACATGGAGAGGAGCACCGAAAAGGCAGAAGTAAACAAGGAGGAGGGTATCCGAAAGGTGCTATGGGCCAAGATGAATTTGCCTGAAGTGTTTGTGTGTGTGTGTTTATATAGAAGGAAGCTAGCTCAGGCAAACACAATGTCTACACCAGATTCATTATTATCAATCATTTCCAAAGAAGAAGAGTTAGACCATGGGTAGGCAAACTAAGGCCCGGGGGCTAGATCCAGCCCAATCGCCTTCTCATTCTGGCCTGTGGATGGTCCAGGAAACAGCGTGTTTTTACATGAGTAGAATGTGTCCTTTCATTTAAAATGCATCTCTGGGTTATTTGTGGGGCCTGCCTGGTGTTTTTACCTGAGTAGAATGTATGCTTTTATTTAAAATGCATCTCTGGGTTATTTGTGGGGTATAGGAATTCATTCATTATTTTTTTCAAAATATAGTCTGGCCCCCCACAAGGTCTGAGGGACAATGGACTGGCCCCCTGCTGAAAAAGTTTGCTGACCCCTGAGTTAGACTCTGAAACAGGCCAGACGGCCCTAAATTGTGGAATTCCCTCCCTACAAAGATGTATCTTGTACCTTCACTTTGGCACCTGAGACCTGTTTTCAGGACTCATCCTATTCCCATGGCTGCAATTTGTTTTAACTGTTTTTAGTACTGAATTTTAATAATAACAATAACGATAGCAACAACAATTATTATTATTATTATTTATTAATTAATTATATCCTGCCCATCTGGCCAAGTTAAACTGTTGTAACCTGTCATAGGACCTGTTGGTATAGGGGTGGTTATAAAGTTAACAACCAGGGCTCGCTACTGGAAATTCCTACACCGTGCCTACACGCGTTCTCCTTTCTCCCCGTTATATTCAGTTCAACTTACTCCTTGCCCTAATGTCATTAAAGTGTGGCACTTTCCTCACCCAACAGGCACAGGGGGAGGGGAGGGTGTGTATGAAAAACAAACATTGTGCCGATTAGCAATGGACCATATTGAAATAAAAATGCATTTTTGTCGTCATCTTCTGAAGTTGATGTGGGAAGATGGCTGTGATGGTTTTAGATCCAGAGCCTATATCACCCAGGAAACCTTATTGTGGGCCTTGAAGGGCTGGCAGAGGGGAGACAGAGTGGGGAAACTGCATTCTATTGGCTCGCTTCTGGTGGTGTTTCAAGACAACACCATCCTACTGAACTTACCAAGATCCACTTTTGTTCCATGTGCAGTCTAGGGCTGCCAGCTTCTGAACTTGGAATCTGTAGCTGCAACAGCAATTTGATTTGAAAAATGAACTGGCAATTGCCTTTGGCTCTATGCCATTTAAAGTATTACCCATTCACTTCTGCATTATCAAACCTCTGTTAAAGGCTCAGGAAGAAGCTGGGCTGTGATTCTATTTATTTAGCCAGTTGGAAATACAACTTATACCATGCAGTTGGGCAAATGGGTTTAGGCATCAGCCTTTGAATGAGGCTTCTCAAGCTCAGCACACAAACAGCACATCTCAGACAAGTATTCCATTTCTTCCTCATCTTCTTTCAATTTAGCTCCCTCTAGTGGGATTGCAATCTGCCAATCCATTTTCTCTGTAATAAATCCCTCTACATTATATCTGAGCTTAGTTCCGTTCAGTAAACCCACTTAAATTAACATGCATGACTAACTGAAATCCGTTAATTTCAGTGGGACTACCTTGGGTAGGTCTTCGTTGGGTACAACTCTTTAAGATTTTAATCCTGCAACAAATGGATTGTGGTTGTGATATAATTAGGGAGGGAAAACGTCTCCTGATAGCACTGTTGATATTGGTCTTTAAGCTTCACTTTATGTTTGAATTACAAGGTCGGGAGCACCAGAACCTTCAAGTGTCCCTATTTTCCAGGGACAGTCCCAGATTACAGAAGCCATCCTGGTTTCTGATTTGAACCTGGAATGTCCCACTTTTCTTTAGGATGACCTATTATCATCGGAGAAATGTTGAAGGATATGGAATTGTGTGTCACCACTGAGCCAAGGAGATACGTAACTACAACCTTTAGAAGACATCTGACGGCAGCCCTGTATAGGGGAGTTTTTTTAACGCTTAATGTTTTATATGTTTATATGTTTAATGTTTTTATATGTGTTGGAAGCCATCCAAAGTGGCTGGGGCCACCAAGTCAGATCGGTGGGGTATAAATACTACTACAACAACAACAACAACAGACGAGGAAACCCCACTTTCATTGGAGAAATGTTGAAGGGTATGTATTATTTCATTTTCTTCCGCATTCTTTACCAAGACCCCAGGGTGGGTTACAGCAATTTTAAAACACAGTATAAAGCAGTTTATGGGACGCGGGTGGTGCTGTGGGTTAAACCACAGAGCCTAGGACTTGCCGATCAGAAGGTCGGCGGTTTGAATCCCGCAACGGGGTGAGCTCCCGTTGCTCGGTCCCTGCTCCTGCCAACCTAGCAGTTCGAAAGAACGTCAAAGTGCAAGTAGATAAATAGGTACCACTCCAGTGGGAAGGTAAACGGTGTTTCCATGTGCTGCTCTGGTTTGCCAGAAGCGGCTTAGTCATGCTGGCCACATGACCCAGAAGCTGTACACCAGCTCCCTCGGCCAATAAAGCGAGATGAGCGCCGCAACCCCAGAGTTGGTCACGACTGGACCTAATGGTCAGGGGTCCCTTTACCTTTATAAAGCAGTTTTAAGCAAATTATGGTCAAGAGAATAAGTTGAACCCTATATATGTATCCATTGTCAAAGATCAGGGTGAAAAGGCACAACGTCTTCAGCGTACACGGAAAATGCATGATGGTCCCATCTATTGAGAAAGCCTGATGGGCAGGATATAAAAATAAGCATTATTACTATCATAATTATTACTTTTTGTTGTTGTTGTGGAACAGGGTGTCCCTGTTTTCATCGGAGACACGTTGGAGGGTATAGAACACCCGTATCTTTTGTGAAAGGCTGCTGTTTTCAAAAAAGCAAATTATAGTCAAGAGAAAGGCCAGTCCAAAGCACAGGCAGGAGGGGAGTCTGTGACGCAGAGCGGGGCGGCAGGTGATCAGCTCCCTTCCTCCTTCCCTTCGCCCGGCCCTTTCCTCAGCATCCCTCGTTCGGCTTCTCCCCCTCGTCACGTGGGCCGGCGGCCGGGCGGCCGTTTCCTAGCAACCCCCCATCAGCAGCTTCCCGCCCGCCGTTCCTCCTCCTCCTCCTCCTGACCCCGCCCCTCTCCCGCTCAGAGAGCTCTTCCGCTTCCGGCGCTCATCCCTTGTCTGGCTGCCTCTGCAGAGGGTCCCGTCGAGCTGTCGGTGAGGGACCTGGGGGGGTCGGGGGGTGGCTGAGGGGTCTTGGGGGGACGACCAGCAGCAGCAGCAGCAGAATTGCTAGGGCTGTTCGCTGCTGCTTCTGCCTGGAAATGTCCAGGGGCGGTGAATTTGTAGGAGGGGCAGGTGGCCGCCTCAGGTTTATGAAGGGATTTAGCAGCCTCACGGTGTGTTGAGGTGGGGGGGGGGCGGTTCGTTACTGTTTTATATATATATATATATATATATATATAGGAAAAGCCAAGCGATAGGCCTCATTTGCTGGGAAACGAGAGCCGAGTGAGGTGCGCTTTTTTACTTGAAGGTTGGCAGGTTGGTATCTGAAGAAGTGTGCATGCATACAAAAGCTTAAACCAAGACAAGCTTAGTTGGTTTACAGTGGTACCTCGGGTTACAGACGCTTCAGGTTACAGACTCCGCTAACCCAGAAATAGTACCTCGGGTTAAGAACTTTGCTTCAGGATGAGAACAGGAATCGTACTCCGGTGGTGCGGTGCCAGCGGGAGGCCCTATTAGCTAAAGTGGTGCTTCAGGTTAAGAACAGTTTCAGGTTAAGAACAGACCTCCGGAACAAATTAAGTACGTAACCCGAGGTACCACTGTACTGGCTTTCCAAAAGATCAGCACATGCAGAGATGTCTATGCTGTCCTGAATCATAGGGACCACTGTATAAGTTGCTACTGGACAATTTTTTTAAAAAAAATTTTTTTTTTTACTGCATCAAACCAACACGGCTACCTACCTGAATCTAGGTTGTGTAACGTTTCGTTTCCTTTTATTATATATGTCAGAAGCCGCCCAGAGTGGCTGGGGCAACCCAGTGAGATGGGTGGGGGTACAAAGAATAAAATTATTATCATCATTATTAAGGGTGGAAGGAGGTACCGCAACTGAGCGAGCAGCCACTGTTTTCGTGGAATCGTAGAATTGTAGAGATGAGCCCAAGGGTTGTCTAGTCAGCCCCCTGCAATTCAGGAATATGAAGCATCTGCTGCCCGCCTCCTCAACCCTCAGGCTAACTCAGGTGTTTTTTTAAATTTCAGATGACTTAATCCGGAGCTGCTGTGCCCTTCTGCTGTCCTGCCCTCGTGGACTAGAGTTGGCCCAAGAGGCGCAAGCCTGGCATTAAAAGGGGCGGGGAACCACCTGTGTTGCACCCTGGGTGTGGGTGGGTGTTAAGGGGTAAATTGATTGTTCTTGTGCTTATATGTGTGTAGAGCAAGAAGCAAGGTAGTGATAGTCATAACAAGGAGAGAAACGAGGTGCTGTTGTTTATAGCATGGAAGGCGAAAGTGCTTGACTCTGTTTTGGGAGTTGGCATTTGTTTCTGTGCGTCGGCTTAGTGTTGGGTTTCTGCTATAACAAAGGACAGGTGAGCTATAGCAAGAACGCAGTCACTGTTGTCATGATGGTGTGATGTTGTAAGTGTACATTGATAGGAGAAAAAGAAGTTGTGGTGAACTATTTAATAGCAAATATATGTAGCATTGGAATTACGTAAAACTAAGTCTTCTGCTTTGTCAGGTATTTTAAGACAAGTGGATATTTGATTTCAAGACACAGATGTTTAAGCCTTTCTTTAGGGGAGCCACAAATAAAAGGAAAAAGTGAGGCTTTGTGCAGTAAGGTCTAATGAGGAAGGAACAGGCAATGTGGTTAACGATGGCAGATTAGGGAAAACTGCTGAAATGAACATGAGCAAATCTATGTTGGGACCTACATGATCAAAACGTGCTCCCTTGTATCAGGTTTAATTTGACACCTAGAGATTGATACTAAATCAATTAAGGATGGAAGGGGTTGAAAGGAACAGCTCCATATTCTCTCCAAGACCGTTTCAAGAATGGAGTCTGGCCTTCTGGACTCTGTGCTCGGTGATGGTTCCCGTACTGATCACCTTGTGGTGCAGCTTTCGGCGATCTCGGAGGCAGGAACTGATGCAGGACATTTTGCGTAAGAGCAAGCACAATTGGCAGGACACAGATCTCTTCAGCCAGCCCACCTATTGCTGCATCTGCTCTCTGCACATCCTTCAGGGAGCTTTCTGCAACTGCTGTGGGCTGTGTGTCGATGAAGAGTGCCTGAAGAAGGCTGACCGGCGTTTCCTCTGCAAGGAAATAATAATGAGGGGTGAAAGCGGCTTCAGGACCTCTATGGTACACCAGTGGATCCGTGGCAACGTCCCTCTGTGCAGCTACTGTGTCGTGTGCAAACAGCAATGCGGTACCCAGCCTAAGCTGTGTGATTACAGGTAATACTGGGAGTACAATTTATTTATTATTACATTTGTAGCCCAGGTACTCATAAAGTGGCGTACGCTCTTCTCCCCCTTCTGAATTTATCCTTGCAACAACCCTGTGAGGTAGGTTAGGATGAGAGATGGTGATGGCCCAAAGGTGAGCTTCATGGCTGAGTGGGGATTTTACCCTGGTCTCCCAATCCTAGTCAAACACTTAACTACTACACCACAGATGGGTCACAGTTATGAGACACGGTGGTGGCAGAATGCTTCCCTGTGGAGGTGAGTCATCAGAAATGTGCTCTGCATTTTCTCATTGTGTTCACAGGCTACCTCTAACTTTCCATGAACAAGATGATGAGTACTCTTATCTATGATCTCCGTACCCTGCTGAATGAAGCTATGATCTACAGTATTTCCAAAGACTACAAAGAAAGTAGGCCAAGTAGTGAGGTGTTCTTAGTGAACGCTTTTCAACTTTAGAGCTTCCGTCTCCTGGAGAGCAGTACAACCTGTTCTTACTGGCTTAGGCATTTAATTTAATACTAAAAGTACACAAGAGTCCATTTTAGTAGGTTAAAAAGATAGATAGATATATATATATATATTAAAACAGGAAGGGAAGGTATTCATTCTCTTTATTCCACAAGCTGGCCTAATGAAAGCTTGAAAGGCCCCATACCCCTGGTTGCTTATGATGAGCAAATACTTTCTTATAGGTGTACATAGGTTGGCTAGTAACTCTTTTTATGGTCTTTTAGCTTAGTGTGCCAAGCCAGCCTAGTGGGATAAGGATGGCAGATATATCAAACCAAAATAATTACTTAGTAGAATTCTAGAGTCATCTTTGTGTTGTATGTAAGTACAGCAAGTGTGTTTACAAAGCATCATCTTATCTCTTAGTTTGGATGGTGCGGCCAATTGTCAGAGATTATGGGAGTTGTAGTCCACCACAATATGAAAGACCAAGTATTCCCCATCTTTGCTATAGGGAATGTGACAGGCACATGACAGCTTTTTCCTCTGGCTTTTCTTGACAACCCTCCCCTTGGAATCTTCTCTGAAGCCAAAGCCTCTCTTGTTTTCTCACATTTAGTGATGAGTTGTAGTGTAACTTAAAGTACGATTCTTCTGATGCAACTGAAATGCATCTTTGGATTAGATTGCTGCGTGAAAAATACTAAAGGCAGAAATCCTGGGGTGTAAACCACCCCAACTAGTGTGGAAGCCCAGTCCCTAATCCCAATTGCAAGGGAACAAGCTGGTGATTAATATTCATCTATGGTGAGCAAATGGTTCTCTGCACATGCTCAAAGGCTCTGTTTTATTTATTCAGTGATGTTGCGTAACTGAGCCTTGGCCTTGGAAATAAGCCCCTAGGCAAAACTGTAGCAGTCATACATTAATTGGACATTAATACGTTCAAGTTCTTGTGCAATAATTTGGCATCTGTGTGCTAAAATCAGAGTGAAGGTTTATGAATGGAACATTAGGTTCTTAGCCACTGTGTCTTGCTCTGAAGAGTATACAACTGTTGTTCTAGTTTAAAATTGGATTAGCACACAGAGTCCTAAATATAGTGTCCAGGGCTTTTTCAATCTGCTCTCTGAATAGTAAGAGTGAGAATCCCACCTCTTGTCCAGTTATCATAGGCCATTTTGGGAACCTAATTTGGCCCGCTGGTCACTTTAATCTGGCTCCAGTGGCAGTTTATTTCCTGGGGTAAAATCCTTAAAAACCTCAACAACTTCAGTCCTAAAAAAAAAGGTCAACAACTTTGGTTGGTCCCCACGGCCCTTCACTTCATCAAATCTGGCCGTCTTTGAAAAAAGTTTGGAAACCACTGTCATTGGCCATAATATGCATCACTCTCAAAGTTATTTCCTAGGGTCTTGGTCTTGCTTGAGTAGTGCACTTTCAAGGTCTGGAATATATAGAACCTAGGGCAGTGTTTTGCAAACATCCTGAACGCATCTCCTCTTTCTGAAGTTTAGCTTTTCTTCCCACCTAACCCTAACCCAGCATGAACATCTCTGTAGCAATTGAGTGGGTCAGAATCCTCGCACACAGACAAACGTGTGTGCATTTCCCTCCTCTGCATGAAGTTTTCTTAACTGTGGCAAAGAGATGTTTAAAAGATTGTTGTAGCAAAAGTGCTTCACAGTTCTTCTCATTTCTTCATTTTCCCCCAGTTTCTTGCCTGCCTCCAGTCCAGGGTGGATTTGATTTAAATCAAATCAATTTAAATCACTAGACAGTAAGACTTGTGATTTAAATTATTATTTTTACAGAAAGACTCCTTCTTGCTGGTATAATCTTAATATTTACAACCAGATGAAGATTTCATTTTTGGAATAATAAATTTTCAGAGTAGTTTTTACACTTACATAAAAAAATTACTGATTTGGTTATACTGTTAGAAATACATAGACAGATAATGATGAAATTATTGTGAGGTTTAATAAGTTAACTGTTTATATTTGGACAACTTTTCTGCTGTACTTTATTGGAAGGAGAAAACGAATCATTAGTAATTCAAACAATTTATTTAACTAAAAGAATAACATTATAGCATATGTATCCATGTTTGTTAACTGATG